TCTTTCTCTATCTGTGTGATCAACATGATTTGGGCTACATTCTATTGCTTGCGGTGGGAATAGATACTGTGTTAACTTTTATTTCCAATGTCATTGTGTCTTTCTCAGTAAATCAATCTGTATGTTTGTGATTGCCGTTCTTTACCCCCGCCCACCCCCTCTTTCTCTCAATCTCTTGTTCTTTACACTTCTACTCCCCTCACCCCCCCCCTTTCTCTCTCTCTCTCCCTCCCCATCTCTGAGTAATGTTATGACCCTAGTTAAAATCTATTCTTGGAATTTAATTCTTAATGCGTTACATTTCTAACCTTCATTTGATACATTTGTTATTTATTGAATTATTTTTCACTATGCTTATCTTTCGTTCTCTTAATAACCAACGTCAACGGATAAAAGTATGAATGAATGAAAAAAGGTTCACTGAAATAATTTTCGTAGTCTCAGGATCACTTCTCTAGTCACACCATTACAGGCTGGATATCATTTCTTGATAAAAGGTAACAGCAGTTAAAAATAGAAAGAGATAGACAGATGTATAGATAGAGAGAGAGAGCAATAGAGAGCGAGAGAGAGAGCAATAGAGAGCGAGGGAGAGAGAGAGAGAGAGAGGGCATTTAATTTTATTGTTATCAGTGACGTATGTACATTCTGTGTTATTATTGATTTGACTATGATAGCAACGCAGATACATAATCGAAAATCCTTACATTATAATATTTATCATCATCATCATCATCAGGGGGGCTGACGCCGACGGGGGCGCATAGCCGCATCCACCCTTCGCTTCCACCTACGAGGATCCCTCATGGCTAGACGCCAGGCAGGGACTCGGCTCATCTCTAGTTCTTCACGGCAGGTTTGGTCGATCTGCCCAAGCCACGACTTCCTCGGTCGTCCCACAGGCCTCCTCCACCAAGGGTTGTCTCGAACAGAGACGACCTGATGGCAGCCAGGACAGCATTAACCCCCGTGCCATAGGTTCACCACCAGCCTTTAATAGTTCAGCTGGTATGCCGCAGATACCTGCTGCTTTACCACTCTTTAGCTTGGAAATCGCCCCCCTAACTTCATTTAGAGAGGGATAATATTTATCATTATAATCATTGTCATTGTAAAACTCCCCGTTCGTCTTATCATTAGCCTCATTATTATCATTAACCTTATAAATTTCTTATCAGTATCAAAATCATCATTATCATTGCTATATCATTCTTATCATTAGT